GGAGTTGTCTCTCCTAGAAGAGTGACTGCCCCAGCTAACGAGACACATCTGCCCGAGGGTTAGAACTCGAGACTTTTCTGTTAAGCAACCATGAGCTTTACCGACTCGACCACACCGACCCCTAAAGATCAGCATTGAGTGACACTATCTAGGTGGGAGTATACTATACCCATCATCAAACACTGATTGACACCATTTGACAGGGCACAGAGAGGGGGACACCAAAACTACTGTTGCAAATTCTAGAGTGCTTTCTCTAGTTGGATTATAGATTATCTCTAGATTGAAGCTATAAGGAAATTAAAGCATTGAGAATTAATAACGTTTAATCTGTTGGTTGTATACTAGTTATAGCCTAGGTTTGCATGACACTTAACCGGGGGGGGGGGGGAGGGGGAGTGCTTGGCTATGCTGGTAGTGGTAATGCAAGTGATCAGCATCCAGTTCAAGAAAATTCAAGTCTGCTAAATTATCTTCTCTTTTTTATGTTTGCTTAAAAAACCACTGGCACAATAGCATTTTAAGAATCCATTTCTCTCTCAAGGCCAATATTTATATTAAACAATTATTCTGCCAATGGCCTTTATTTTGTTCAACTAAGATAAACTTTGAATTTCTGTAAATTTTAAAGACATACCCAACCAGATTACAATTCATTATCATGTGTCACTTGCTGTGATTAGTATTCAAAGACTCCTGTAGGAATTCTGAAGAGGCAGACTTTAGCTGACTGTTATTTTGCCTAGAAATTTTTTTTTCTAAACAAGTCATGAGTCAGTCAGCTGATTGTCTTAGCTGCTTCTGTGTTGTTTAAATGAACTTTGTGCAAGATTTATTTCTCATTGGCTTAGACCTATTTGCCTTATCATATTTTAGCAGGAAGTGCAGTTGCTGTTGGCTCCCTGTCAGAAAACCAATCAACAAAAACCCCTGTGACATAAACCTCTCTGGACGCAAACACCACCACCCCCCTCCCCCATGACCTAAACCCCCTGGTGATTCTGATGGAACTTATGTAATATTTAACTTTATAAATTCTTCAATACGAATTTGATCGTATGACCCAATCATCTTTTTCCCTTCTTTTCTTTAGTAATTGTTTGTTTTTCTTTACTTCATGTGTATATTAGACTTGTTCACACTTTTCTCCACAGTCCCTCCAACCAGTGTTAGAATATCTGGTGCTAATCGACCAGCCAGGTCAAGGGAAAGGGTAACATTAACCTGTGAATCATCTAATGCCAATCCTACTGCAACTATCACTTGGTATGGTAAAAATATCTTGATACCACGCAGTGAAGTTGTGGGTAAGAAATGGATTTTTTCAAAGCAACTTAAAACATAAAAAGATTTAGTGATTGTCTTAAATCTGTCTTTATAAAACTTTTTTTTTTAAATGAGTTTAAAAAGGCTATAAATATGTTGTTGCAGAGCTATATTACAACTCCTCAAATGGTGGTCAGATAACAAGATCTGAGATCAATGTCACAGTAGATGTTCATGATCATGGCAGTGAATATACATGTATTGCATCAAATGCTGTTTTTAATATGACTGCATCAGCTACAACAACTCTTAATGTACTCTGTAAGTTTAAATGAAAACCATGATTCAGAAAATGTATTTCCTTTGAAAATATTAGCCTTAGGTGAAAAAAATGTAATCTTTACTGTCAGGTGACACTGCTAACATTTAATGCAACATTTAAAAATGTACTTTTGAATATTACAACTGTTTAACAAATTGATATTCTGTATGTATGTCAGATCCTCCCCCACAAGCTCCAATAATTACTCAATATACAGAAAATACACCAATACGGGAAGGTGCAATTCAGAAATTAGGCTGTAATTCTTATGGTGGAAATCCTCTTTCTGAGCTTTATTGGTATAAAGGTAAGACTTCTTTTTTAAACTTGGTTTTTCTTAACTTGAATGTATATATATACATATATATATATATATATATATATATATATATATATATATATATATATATATATATATATATATATATATATAAATATCAGTATGTGTGTGTGTATTTGTCTTTTCCCTACTACATCCCTGACAACGGGGTGGTCACCGAAGTGTGTTCTACCTCACTATTATGGAGAGTTATTAACATACACTCAACGCTTTCATAAAGCACGCCCTTGGGCATGCTAGGCAGTAGTGTGGGTAAACCTGAAAAATATGATCCAAGAAAAATAGTGCAGTCATTGTTTACATTTAAATAACTAAGTTTTAATAAACAAGGTCGCATGTCTAAGAATATAGGATTTGTTATGCCTTGATGAAACCCTCTATAAATATTGTGTCAGACTTTCATCTGAGGCAACACGTGGGACGTGCACACTCGTGTGTATATATATATATATATATATATATATATATATATATATATATATATATATATATATATATATATATATATATATGAAATATATAGGTGTGTGTCTTTTATTTCTACACCGTTTCACCTCTATGAAACTGGGAAGTTGTTGAGAATACTCTTGGGAAGGTTTCTGCTATGTAAAAATGTTTATTTCAGAGGATAGCGCCTCAGTAGTGGGTGTGGGCAGGCCCTGGAGCAATGTAATAGTGTGAACAAACCTGCAAGCCAACAACTAAGATCCTATAAACTTAGCACCAACAACATAATTAAGTTAAAATATATACAATTGGTTGATGAAACCATTACAAAATGTTGCATCACTCTGGTTTGTAGAACTAGCAGCAACGCATGACAGTATGCTTGTATAAATAAACTTGATCAATATTAATTTTCAACTTTAAAGTGTGTTTTTGTGTTAAGCCTAATTGAACTTTATTTCAGGCACCAGGACAATCAGTGGGGCTGATTACAAAACATATTACAACATAGCATCTTGTGATATAATCATCATAGCCAAAGCTGATGACAATAATTCTGTTTATAAATGCAAGGCTGTTAACGTGGCTCTCAACATAACACAGTCAGCCAGCATCACTCTAACAGTCCATTGTAAGTCTATACAGATATTACTTTACTCAGTCTCTGACAGTTACCTCTGTTTTAGCTGGGTTTTTTTACATCTTAACACACCCGTAAATGACTTTTTGCTTAAATTTATTGACTTCACAATAACTACTGTTGGTGAAGTAACTATTTTGATCTTCTTAGAAAAATGTTTGTTTTTTCTCTTTTTTGTCCTTAAAAAATGTTGGTAGTCTAGCAACAATTTTTTCTTTAAAAATAGCAGAAAGTTTTTCAGATGATCCATTTTCTAGATTTTTAAAAACACCTATTTAACAAAATGTTAATCATAAATTTACAATTAGCAGCTGTAATCTAGAATAAACACAAGTTGTCTTTTATTTTTTTTAATTAAGATAGAATATAACATAGGCATTAATTTTAATGGTGAAAAATTCATGACAAGACTTCTACATTTTTTAGCTTTTAACTAAATTACTACTCTAAAACACAAATGAAATACTATACTACATATAAACATTAAAATGTATAGCTTGATCAATATATTTTCCTTTTAAGTTGCCCCTGCCCAGGTAACCATTGCCATGAATCCAACCCAGCCTAAAGCTGGCCTGCCACTACATCTCACGTGCACAAGTTCTTCCAGTAATCCACCTGCAGAAATTGTTTGGAGTAAAAATGGACGCAGAATTACTGGAGAAAATTTAGTTACCTCAGATGCTGAAAATGGTGGTAAAAAAACCAGCTATAGTCTAAAAATTGAACCAACTTCAAGAGATCATAATGCTGAGTATCAATGTAGAGCAACAAATAAAGATCTTGATCGCAGTGTTTCTAATGCAGTAACACTAAATGTACTATGTAAGTTCTTTGTGGCTGATTCACTTTTTGTCACTTATAGGCTTATATGCTTTACATTTATAGAAAGATACTTTAATAGTTAATTCATTAGCTTCATTCTGACAATCTTATTTGTCAATCTTATAGTCAAGCCTGAATTTGACACCAACACACTGCTGAAAACATATGATCCCAAGCTGGGTGATGATATAAAGATAAACTTCACAGCTTATGCCAATCCTGCAGATGTAACTTATGTTGTGTACAAAGATGGTGTGCCACGTTCTTTGTCCTCACGCTTTCAAATGGAAAAGGGATTATTTAATATTTCTAATTTGAATAAGGATGATAAGGGAAACTACATGGTGAAAGGAAGTAATTCTATTGGATTTTCTGTGTTCAACTTCACATTGAATGTCAAATGTAAGTATGTTAAAGTATGTACTCCATGCTTATGCTACATTTGATTTAAAAAATTATAATTTTATAAACTATTGTGCAATTAGTATTAATATTTATTTTAATTTTTGCTTCAAGATCCTGCTGAAATAGGCCCTGTTAAGAATCTGTGGTATGCGGATGAGGGTACTGAATTCACTTTATATTGCCCAGTATCTGCCAACCCGATAATACCAAACATTATCACATGGTCTAGAGAGAATTTTGAAATGAGCAGGACACGGTCACGATTTGAAATAAAAAATAGCACATCATACTTAACTATCCCTGACCTCACACGGCAAGACAGTGGAACATTTAGATGCACAGCTGATAACAGGATTGGCCCACCTGTACACAAAGATATAAAACTCCTGATCAACTGTAAGTGTCATATTATGTTTCATGTTGTTTTATAACAAATTTCATTCTTATCTTTTTTTCCAAATATGTAAGATAATGCTGATCTTGACTTAAAAAAAAATAATTATCAATATAAGCCTTTTTTTTAATTTCATTTTTTTTACAGAAAATTTTCCAATTAAAAATAGGGTCATAATGTATAGTACATTTTCAGTGTGATGTTGTGGTACCCACCCTCTAAGTTGTCCCCTGTCCTAACTGCCCCTCATGTCTAAACCAGGTGTTGTAATGCACTGAGGGAGGTAGCCTGGCAGAAACCCACGTGTCTAGAACACATGAGAGAAATGCTCAAATCTTAACCCTGTTCTCTCTGCCAGGTTCATGGGCAAAACCTTGAGCCAGTAGTGACTTAAGGGAGAGAGAGAGAGAGTATACTACTAAAACTGACTGGGCTTTATACCAGGGGTGTAGCAGTGAGTGGAAAGAAGTGGTGGCTGCTCCATTTTAAGCATTTTTCAGGAGTGGTGATAGGCCTTACATAAAATATTTCATGCAATCATAGTCATGGCTGCTGAACTACCCTGTTTGCTTATAAGACTCCCCTCTTGAGTTAAGCTTCTGTGTCTCTCTTTTGATATGGCTAGTAAATGCAACCACGTTGAGGTCAACATTTTAAAATTCCTCTTGGTTAGATGTGAGTGAAAACTTGAGTTTCTACACAACACAATGCTATAGAAATGTAAAGAGGTTGAGTATTTTCAAAGATGCTATTGAATTTAAGCAGCATTAATGTTTTCCAATTGTTTAGTTATCATACAATGTAATTAATATAGGCCTACATTATTTAGGTAAAAGTGATGCAGTAAGTTAAAAACAGTATGAGCAGGATTTTGTTCTGCTAGTTCATCTTGTATCAGAAAAGCTGATGCCTGGGTAATGACAATAGGATGGCTATGTTAAAAATCTTACTGCTTGCCTGATCATTGTCTAATGCATTAGCAGCCATAGTTTTTAAAAATGAAAACCATGAATAGCTTAATGTTGAACCTTTGTTCTGGAAGCTGAAGGGAATGCTGATCAGATGTGGGTCTCCATAACTTTGCCACAAACAGAACTAAATCAAAAACATCATAGAGTTCACACACACACATTTCAGCTCATTGTTTAGCTGCCCCTGCTGTCTGTTACATCTAGCTTTATTCTATTCATTTAAGCACAGTCCTATTCTATATATATACACATTTTTTAGTATGAATAACTAATGGCAAGTCACCATATGACAACAAATTTAGCTGGAATTTAATATATATATATATATATATATATATATATATATATATATATATATATTATGGTAGGTAAAATTGGTGGTCAAATGGGTGAGCATTTGATTGCAAACTGAAAGTCTCGAGTTTGAATCAGGGTTTTAAGTCCTTAGAACATCCCATAGTCTACCCAGTTGTGATTGGTACCAGACTCAAGCTAGAAAAAGTAAAGGTGGCTGGGCACAGTTTCCCTTCATATGCTGAGGTCACAGCAACAGTTGAACTCAACTTACAAGGGCTAACACCAGTCATCTAGAGGTTTTTAGAGTGAAATATTAGATAGTGGCTTTAGTCTTAGAGTTCTTGTATATTTTACATTTGAACAGTTGCTCCAGTCATTGATCCATCTCTTGAGTTCAGCAAATCTGCCGGTGATAAGGGGAGTGTTGTAAATCTCAAGTGTCGAATACAAGGAGTTCCTGATGTCTCTGTAACTTGGTCTAGGGTAAATTGATTCAATTTAATGACCTCCATAGTATTGTTGGCTACTGTTTTTTAACATTATTTAATGGAAACCTTTGTAGGTTGAGGTTAGAGAAGGGTAGGGGAAGAATACATTTCCACTAAAATGTGAGCAACTTGCTTCAGTCATGCTAAGATAAACGGATCAGGTAACAAGACATGTTTTACTGTGAGAAAAAAATGTTTGTAAGCCTAATAGAAATTTTAGAAATGTAAGAATTTTTAAATGTAGGACTGTTTTTGTTGATGGTTAACACATTTTTACTCCAACAAAAAAAAAAAAAAACAACCTTGTTATCAATACAGTAGGTTTATTTGTGTTTTACCATAATAAGATTGAGTTAGTTACTTATGTACCTACCATTACTTGTATAAATCAAAATCATTAGAATATTTTTAATGTTTCTTTTTTTCCCTAGAACAATAACCCAATATTAGCAGATAGCAAATATAAGCTTAAACTTGAAAAGTCTAAGATGGTGAACTATGAAAGCACACTTCAGATAAGAGATTTGAAGACTGAAGACTATGGTGCTTATGTGTGTACAGCAACAAACAGTAAAGGCAGTATCTCACACAGTGTCACACTGGCAGAAACTAGTGAGTAGAAATGCATTTGTCAGGTTTCTTTCATCCAATCACCATGATACTTTGTTAAGTTCATACTCCTGGTTAGGTTTCTTTGATAAAATTTTGAGGACAACAACCCAGCAGTAAAATGCAGTTGGTCACCCAGAGTCCACCTGCAGGTATCTTAGCACCTGGGATCAGTCGATTGGTCACCCTGCACAGGTGGTCAGAATGAACTGGATTCAGTGGTCAAACTGCACCAGGCATGTCTGCCGGCACCCTGGTGGTTGTATGCCCCAGGCTCTTCCATGAGCACTAAGAAGCCTACATTTGGTTTAAACAGCACTATACACTACAGTGGGCTACTACTTTGACTAAATCAAATGAGATGTGTTTTGTCGCCCTGGCAGTCATGTGACCTGATGTTCCTTGGGTTTCCCTATGAGTACTACTGTGTCTACATTAGTTTTGAAGAGTGGCTTTTGCTAGGGATACAGTGGGCTGACAAAATTGATGGCCATATCAAACCATGCCCGGGATCAGGCAGTAGAGTAGGATGGGCACTCAGTTTCCTAGCGGCTACCAGAGCACATAGGGTCAGTTGATTTGGTGTCCTGTGAGGGTGTTCTGTGAGGTGTTAACCCTACAAAACACATTTCCATAGGGAAGATTGGACAAAAGATATAAGACATGATAAAGAACTGTAAATTATGAGAAAACTAAAGCTTTGAGCACTAGGCATGGAAAGAATAATTTTGATGCAGTATAGAAGAAGAATGTGAGATGTGTAAGACAAACAAACACTGTGTAAACATGTTCATTATGTATGACTGTTTGGAATGGGCTCACCTTCAGTGGACTAGACTGAAGAACTAGGCTCCAGCAAAACATGCATGTCTCGGGATGGAATAATGTGTCTCATCTAAAAGTTAGGAACCAGCAGATAGTCTTGTCATAGAACAAGTTCACTGTCCTGTTCACTTCAGTTTTCTTATTTGAACTATTACACAGTGAATCCTCCAGAAAACCAGAAAGACATAACAGGAGCAACATAACAGAAGGCTTTCTAACTTCCTCATTTTCTTTTTTTCCATACACCCTTCACCCATTTTTCTTATTTTTCTCAACTTTGGTATTTTGGCATATGGTTGTTCTATAACTATTTCATTTCTATAGAAAGTTCGTTTTATGGGTATACAGAGATGTAACTAGTCCCATATTTTTCCACCTACACACAAAAATTTCTGAAAAAGTTTTTATAAGTTTCCAAAGCCCAACTTTTCCTGAAAAAAGTTTTACTTCTTCCTGTCATTTTTTTCTGGGGATTTTCCTGGATTTTTACCAATCAAATCAATACTTGCTGTAGCAAATATTGTTAAGTCAACTCAAATTTAACAATGTTATTTACTAAGATATATTAATTGTTAAAACTGTTTATTTGAAACCAGTCATAACTAATATTTGTACATTGCTCTTCTAACTATTCAATCTATTACTTCAGGCAGGCCTTACCCACCATACAATATAGAGTTCAACAACGCTACATCTAACAGCATCACAATATCTTGGAAGCCAAGTTTCAACGGGGGGCTGCCCCAGTCTTTTAGGGTCAGATATAAGCCTGTAGATGCAAGAGGTTATGTTTATGTTGATGTGCGTCCCTATGGAGCCACTACATATAAGATCAAAGGTTAACAAATATTTGAATTGTTTTTTATTACTTTACTTGTTTGAAGCATCTTGTAGTTGTATCTCCGGTTATGATATTAATCTGAAAATATGTGGAAGACTTTGGTATTTGAGCTGCTCCTATTTATTTCATTTATTTTACACATATTTTTGTGTTAAAACTTTTGAAAAGCAAAATTATAAATTATTAAGTAAAGTAAAGAACAAAAATATTTTTAAATGCACTGATGTTTTCATCTAGAGTAAACAGATTAATTGTAGAGGCTTTCCAATTTTTCAATTTTTGTTACATAAATTTACACTGTTTTAACCAATATAAAGACAAAGGAAAAATCTTTGAACATGAAACAACAGTGATGAGTATTCAAATGATGGTGGAGGGCTACATATTTGTAGAACATATCTTCAGTTGATTGCTATTCAAGTATAGTGCATATAAAACTCAAGAGCTTTATTTTTATTATGAAATTTATTACTTTTTTTTCATAAAGGTCTTGAACTTGGTACAGAGTATGAGTTGACAGTATTGGCATTCAATGATAGAGGAGAGAGTTCTTACCAAGAAAGAGGCATCACAGCACGTACATCAGGTAGTGTACTTCATTGTTTAGTAATCAGTTGTATGGATCAGTTTTTAGCTTAGCACATCCAATTTCAATCACTGAAAAAAATAAAGTGGGAGTGATCTCCCCTAAACTTTCTCAAATATTCTTATATAACACTCGGGATATAGACATGATTTTTAATCCATTTTTAATTATTTAAACTTTTTAGAATCTTGAGAAAAAAGAATTGCGCACCAAGTTTATGGCAAACAATATGTGTATAATAATACAAAATATTAGTACTTTATAAATTCATATTTATTTTTTTTAGAAATTGGAAATAGCTTAGATTTTTTGAAATTTGACAGGAGGCAGAGAAATAGATCTTTTACTTATAGTCATATGTGATTTTCATTTATCTATCTCAAACAGCACTCAAGTTATAGGCTTTTGAAAAACCAAAAGTAGAATGAGTTCCACTTTTGGTTACCGTAAATTGCTGAAATTTGGATATAGAACTACAAATTTGATATATAATACTTATCTATGAAATTTCATCAACCAAGCTGTAACTGTACTCAAGTTATTGTGTTCACAGACATATACACATAACATACACACAGACAGGTACAAAATTGCAAAAGTATGTTTTTCCAACTCAGGGAGGTATAAAGAGATTTGTGATTTTTTTTTTTTTTTGCACAATTACAATACTTTCTATTTACTTTGTATAAGAGCAAGTAAAAATGACATGAAATAAATCTTTTCAGATGTGGTAACTCCAGCAGACATTTCAACATCTGAACTACAAGGAACAGATGAGATACCTGTCATCATTATACTAGTTGTCTGTATTGTGGGTGTCTTTATCCTTACTCTTAATGTTGGACTCATTTTATTTTTTATTCGGAGGAGGAAGAAAAGATTAGAAGGTAAATAATTATATTAAAACTGCTTTCTTGAGGTTCTCTAAAATCTTGAAATTGTCAACATCCAGTTAAGTAGTTAGTTCTCTTCTAGCCATTGTTTATTCTTGCAGCAAAAACTGTAGGTCTTGTATGTTACTTAAACCTAGGCGTTTTCTTAAGTATTTCCTTTTGTTGCTTTATGGTGTCTAGCAAAAAAAATATATTACTATTATATTAATTAGTTAGACCACTTTTTACCACATTCAAATAAAGTACCTATGTAGTTTCTTGCCAAAAATGTGTATTGTATTTAGAATTTGACGTCATAGATTGTATGTAGTCTCACATGAGTTCAATGACATGCAGCTTATGATTAGCTAATATATTGTTACTCTATTTTAAAAAATGTAACTATTTTCAGCTACTAGTGATACAGCAAGCCATGCTAATGCGTTTGAGCTGTACAATAGTACTCATAAGGTGCCTCATCCTTATCCACCTCCATCAGATGACACACGAAGTTATGGCACCTATGATAAAAGCATGGATGACTTTTCTGATGACTATATCAGAGATTATGATGTGAGTATGACAAAGGAACTTGTACTTGTAAGATTACTTTTTAAATTACAAACCTTTTACTGCTACATTTAAACATATTATTAACTAATAAAATTGTATAACACAACTTTCTCTATGTTAAATGTTTTTATCATATAATTTTAAGTTGCTTGTAAATCTTTTGTAGAAAAGTTCAATGTTTTCACCAGTTGTGGCAGAGCTTCGAGGTTATTGGGGTTCTGATAATACCAATCATATGGTTAATTTTCTATTTGTTTCTCATTTTTCTTGTTACGAAGTTGATTTAGCTTTATTTTGTTTTGTTTTGCTTGTTTTTATTTTATTGCTGAGAATACATCACTGTTTAAATATAATCAATTGGCAAGAAGGAACACTGTCACACATAAAAATTTGCTTCTGATAGTGGATTGCTTTAACCTATTTAAGGAATTTTTTTTTTTTAATATTCCATTAACAGAAAAATTATTCAACTTATTCATTATTTTTTTAATTTGTTACATCTCTAGATATTTAAAGATCATTCATATATTGTTTACCACAAATAAAGGCCATTGTAGCCAACAACTACCCCCTAATGTTATTTATTGATATTTTATAAGATTTTGTGGAAACACTACCATCCACCTTTCCCAGTAGGATATGTAACTTCAAAAGCTGTGTAAACATCAGTTTAGAGAAAAATGACATTTTACATCTTATGGAATTATTTAGTTTAAAAAAATGTTTAAACCTGTGGTGTTAAATTATTTATCCAACCTTTCTAAAAAATAGAAATATAACACACAAAAAAGAATTTGAAAAATCATCCTTCCTTATGATACAATATATCAAAACCACGAAAAACCTCTTCCATCAATTTCACATTTTAAAATATACTAGCATGTCTGTCCCGGTGTGTTGCTGCTGAGGTTAGAAGAAAGTCTAAGGATAGCACAGGGCAAATTGCACCCTGCTGTGATTCATATTTAGTGAACAACTATTAATACTACTTCTCATCCATATTTTATCACACTCTTTAAAATGAACTTATGCGCCATTAGCGCTCAAGGGATTGCCCAAATTGCACCCTACCAGGGCATTGCGGACGCGCCTGATTCACTTTTGTGAGTGACTATAATGGCGCATTGTATCCATAGTCTGGTGCACCTCGAAAACGGCCCGGGACAAATCGGCCCCGTTAATATGACCCCGTCAAATTGACCCCCGACAAAACAATCCCGTCAAAATAGCTCCGTCAAAAGGGCCCTGACTTATTGGCTCCCGTCAAAGGGGCTCCCGTCATAATGACTCGCGACAAATAGGCTCCAGACAAATGGACTCCCGACATTTAGGCTCCCGACGAATGGACTCCCGACAAATTGGCTCCCAACATATTGGCTCAGGACATTGGCTCCCGACATATTGGCTTCCGACATAAGGGCTCACGACATATTGGCTACCGACAAAAGGGCTCCTGATAAATTGGCTTCCGACAAAATGACAAATAAATCGTATTACCACTATTGGCATAAAAGTAACCATTTTGTCATACCTCCACTACCACTATACCTCTCTTAAATAGCTGCATGAAATTGTTTTTCATGAACCAACATCAATTCACAAACAAATCTAGCTAAATTCCACCAATTCTAAAATTATGATAATGTTTAATTTACAACAGAAAAGATCTGTTGCTTAAAAGGGAGCACAGAAGTGTAAATGTATGATATAATTGATGTTTACAGGATAACAACATTTTGTTTTGATAACCTACAAGCATACTGCAGGTAGGGATGTGCAGAGTGGACCCTTCTCCCCACACACTTGAGTTGGAACAGCCTATACTCGACTCATTTATTGAAGAAATAGATGACCCTTAAATTAAAACAGACTATTTGTTATAATAGATAAGCTATTATAAAAATAAGGCCTACCGAACAAGAGATACATACGGTGTATTACTAAAGAGTGTTGGATAAATTAACTCTAAAGAATATTGATGAAGGGGTCCCATTGGCAGGTGTCATATTCAATGAGACCGTTTTACCCGGAGACTTAGTCTCTACAGAAACTGTATTGTATTGTCAGTGGTCCTTTTGTCTGGGGCTAAATTGACAGTAGCCTATTTGTCGTGAGTCAAAATGACTTGAGCCTATTTGTCGGGAGTCGTAATGACGGGGGCCGTTTTGTGGAGAAACTAAATGGCGGGAGCTTATATGTAGGGAGCCTTATTGACTGGAGCCCTTTTGTCGGAAGCCTATATGACGGGAGCCTATTTGTCGGCAGCCTATATAACGGGGTCCATATGTCACTGGCCCTTTTGACGAGGTCGATTTGTCGGGGCTCTTATGTCGGGGTCGTTTTGACGGGGCCGTTTTGTCATTGGCCGTTTTGTCATTGGCCGTTTTGACGCCGCACGTCATAGTCTATCGCACTGTTTAAAATGAACGTAAGCAACATAGCGCTCATGTGATAGTCTGGGGCACCTAATTGCACCCCGCCTAGACGGTGCCCGTGCAAAATTGAATTTTTGTTTTTCACAGAAACCTCCCCAGGAGTATTCTCAACAAGTTCCCTAAGTTTCATGGCGATCAGATGAAAGGTGTAGTAAATGCATAAAAGACAAAGACAGACGAATTATATTAAGAGGGTTTCATTAAAGCTTTATGCAACCTATATTCTTAGACGCTTTATCTTGTTTTCTAAAACTGAGTTATTTAAATACAAAACAATGCTTGGGTTTGGATCATTTTAATCAGGGCACAGTTTAACCTACACTACCAGCTGTTTAAAAGCCTTCAGTCTACGTTAATAACTCACCGTAATATCACCGTTAATCACTCGACACTTAAGTGTCAGGATGGAGAAGGGTGCTCTTGTGAGCCCCCGATTACACTACAGCAGGGGCGACCCCTGGCTCAGTTTAATCATCGAGTGTCATGTGCCACCCTGTCAATAATGTACAATGCTCATTAAAACTAAGCTCAAATTGCACCCTGCCTGTGTGCTGGCAGCTTATCTAATTATGTTTTGTAAGTGACTATAATGCCAGATCATCTTATCCATTGTTTATCGCACTGTTTAGAACAACATTGCCTTCACAGGAAAGCCCATGGTGCCAAATTGCCTCCTGCAGGGGGGCTGGAGCACATGCCTGATTTGATTTAGTCAAGTATTACTGTTGCCCATCAAGTCTTTAGTGTATAGACTTTTAAAAAAAAAACGTTGGTGCCATAGTGCTCACAGGGCACCCTGTGGTGCGTCGTGTCACGCAATAGCCAGGGCACTGGTAGCTGCGCCTATTGTTTTAATGCTGAATATAGTAGTACCCCTTACCTGCTTTGCAGAATGCCCGATTACTGGATACCAAGTGCTAAGATAGCCGCTCTGGAACTTGGGGCACCAAACCATGTATTAAACAAAAATCGTACCCTCCTGGGGGGGCGCCCCATAAGAAATTTTATAATATTTTTCCTCAGAAACATTCTCGGGAGTATTCTCATCAACTCCCCAAAGTATCATGGCAATTGGATGAACGGTGTCGAACAGCATCCAACTTTTATAGTTTACTACTGTATATAGAGAAAAATTGCACCCTCCCAAGGTGCCGCCCTTGCGAGATTAAAAAAGATTTTTTTGCAGAAAACTTCCTTGGAGTGTTCTAATCAACTTCCTCAGGCTTCATGGCAATCGGATGAACGTTGTCAAACTGCAATCTAATTTTATTTTTATATACAGTATATAGAGAAGAATAAAAGTTTTCGCAGAAACCTTCCCAGGAGTATTCTCAACAACTTCCCAAAGTTTCATAGCGATCATAAAAGACACACACACACACACACACATACCTTGGTTTTTATATACATAGATAGATAGATGTATGATCCCTACCTTTTATAAAACATTTGCTTTTTTTTGTTCTTTATCATTTAAAACTAAATAAATGGACACTTTATAATTTATGACCCTGAACAATGTTAATATTTTAAAAATATTTCTGTAAATAGTTCCTGCATGATCAGGTTTTGGTGTTTTTTTTTACACATTTGTTGTCACCATATTAGTAGTCAAACAACAGAAATAAAAATATATTATTTAACAATAGACTACTGCTATTTAAGAAATAAATTTGAAGTAAATATTGTTTGAATAGTTTTCTATACTTTATAAAGTTCATATTTAACTGTCATTGTCAGCTTATATTTTTTTATTTATTTTTAAAGTCACTTGATCTCTAGTTTTATTAATAGCAAATTATTTCTGTTGTTTGTCGGGGTAGATGGTTTTCTTATATGTGTTGTGCTTTTTTCTCCTCTTTTTGGCAGCGTGAGTGTGAAACACACGTCTTTTTGCCTCAACAGCCAGACTATCCTGGGTCAAGGCCATACAGTCCTCAGAAAATAGAATCTCCCAGGTTGGGGAGTGGACATAAAATTGCTTATATTATTGAGGATCACCCTGGAAGAAATTCTCCTTGGAATGAAGGTTATAAATTATAATCCATTATTATTCCCAAATGTAATCTATTTCCCAAATATTTTTATTGTTGAAATAGGTTTTATATATTGAAATTATATAGGCTTTATTCTTAAACATTATAGATCCTTATCAAGTTGCTCATCCACGACTCAAGAAAGGATATGATGATGGACTTTCAAATGGAGATATTTATGAATATAAAGCTGTAAGGAGCAAGGTGGATAAAAAAAAATTAAAAGGGGTTAATAAAAAGCTACAAACTACCTTCTGAGTTAGAATGTCTTCAGCTTGAATTTTGTAATGTCACCACTTTCTCTTATCACTTTTACAAGCTGTTGAAATATAATACTCCTGTAGACATATAATACTCTTAACACAATGCTTTTAATTCATGATTTAGAAATAAAAAGTATTGTATGTGCTTACATTTTTGTACAAATTATTTATGTAACAATAAAAATTAATGCTTTTTTGCTTTATTTTCCTAGGGAATGAGTGAATTTTCAGATCGATTTCCCAGTCGTCCATCAAGTAGATCGGGTAAGACTCCCCCTCCACCCCCCACACGTTCCTCCAGTCGAGGAGGATTTAATAATGGTGAAATGATGCCTCCTCTCCCAGCACGAAATTATGAACCTCAGGAAATCTCCCCACAACCTCGATATGGCCCATTGCCAGGTATCTTTAAGTTTCATCAGTTGTCTGTGCCTTGTTCAGACTTTTAGTTTCCCTGGGTTTTACTTTTAGTCTTAACTTTTTTACTTTAACCAAATGCTTTTAAGATGCATTATTGAATGCATGATCGTTAGTTGGATCTGTTTTTGGAGCAAATTGCTTGAGACTCACTCAAATAGTAATTTTTTAAATATAAACTTCAGGGGTAACATAGTCATCATAGGATAACAGTCTTTTGACAATATATATCCCCCCTCCATACACTCATTCCATTCAATGCACCTAAAATACATTCCATACACCACACAGATCCCAAATTCTCTTCCCCTGAACCTCATTATTAACCTACAATACTAATGCCATCTCACACACCCACACCTGCTACATCCTACATCAAAATTTGATTTTGTCGATGACATTGAAACTTCTTCTCACACCTAGACTACTGATCTCCCTATGCCTTTTACAAGTTGCCACTTATTTTCAAAGTACTTTATCAATACAGTTATACAATTTTATTTTGAATTATTCAGCAAAAGTTAAAAATTGAAAAGAAATTCAGTTTCCTTTGTTCATATTTTCAATAGCTTTAAAGTAAAACACTGGTATAAAAGTAGTAAATTCCCCACCATTGTACATTCTTTTTTACTTTCTCGTGTATACAAAGTATAGAGAAAGTCTTGAAATCGTGCAAAAAAAAAATCGAGATTTTTCCAAATCTCGACATTTTACATTTCCTGCGTCGAAAAACATAGTTTTGCAATCCTGTGTGTGTATGTGTGTCTGTGTGTGTGTAAACACGATAACTTGAATACCGTTAAAGCTAGGTTGATGAAATTTCATATAAAAGTATTTTATCAAAATTGTAGATCCGTATCAACTTTTGAGCTAGTTCCGATAACCGGAAGTGGTACTTTTTCTACTTTGAATTTTTCAAAAGCCTATAACTTGAGTACTATTTCAGATAGATAAATGAAATTTCACATGTAAGTAAAAGATCTAATTCTCTACCTTCTATCAAATTTTTAGTAATTTCCGTTGACCTTCGATTTCTCAAAAAACTAATGTAAATTTATAAAGTACTAATAATATTGCGCACTATTATGCACATTTTATTTGGCGTTCACTTGGTGTGCAATTCTTTTTCCAGAAGATTTTATTCTATTTTAAAAAGTTTAAGTATTTAAAATGGATTAAAAATTATGTCTATATATCTCGAGTTCCCAACCCTTTGTTGTTTTATATAAGAATATTCGAGAAAGTTTAGGGGAGATCACTCCCGGTTTATTTTTCTAGCAACAGCTTTTTTTCAACCAAAATTTTATTAGTAGAAAGAATATTAAACATGATTAAAACTTTAAATATACAAGCAGTGAAAATTAACCTTGTGTTTCTTTTTATTTCTGAAAAAAAAATGTAAATCTATATATATAGTTCTCTTCATGGCATATCGCTACCACCCTCACCCCCATCTGTCTGGTGAGCTATGGTTCACGACAAATGTTAACAATAGTAGAGCTGGGTCGGATTAGTAAACTGTGGTCACGGACGGCTGCTTTCATGGTGGTGGGGGAGGGGGGTGGAAAAAAGGGAGGATAGTGTTGAATTCACTAACTATAAAATACCGAAAATTAGAAAATAAAACAACTAAATAGCGATGTATGATATGCCGCGGGGTCAGCTCGTGCTTTATAAATAAGCTTTATAAATAAGCTATGTATGTTAACTGATAAGATATGCAATGGAAAACTGTACAAAAAGTGCGCAAGGGCGTTTTTGTTTTCTTTAATCAAGCATTTATAAACATTAACAAAGAGTGACTACATGTACACTGTAGCATTATAAAACATACTGCCAAAAATATGAGAAATTAAGCATATTAGTATTATGAGTTTGTATTTGCATATTTTTCTGTTTGCTGCCTTATTAACCAATAAGTTTAAGTTTTTGCATCTGATAGTTACCTAACCCTATCATTTTTAGATCATTCCAAAATTAATTTACAAATAACCCCTGCTTTTCTACCTTTGCAACTTGATGTAGCCTATGTTGTGGTCATGTGTAGTCCTGCACAATAGTTTTTATTTGATTAACAACTTTCAAATGTTTGGTTTACTTTTTCTTATATTTTGGGCTACTATGGCACCATTTTGTTTATTATGATATCTATCCAATTATAAAAATTCTTTAAGAATTTATACATTTTAAAATGATTTTATTTCAACTACTATATTACAATTGAATTATTTCAGGGTCTTCAATGATGTCAGGTAACATTGTACCCAACCCAAGTTATAATGGCCCCATTATGAACCAAAGAACACCTTCCCCTCATTCATCTTCATCACACAATACACTCCCAGTTGGTGCAGAATTTAGAGGACACCTTGTTTGATTAGCATATTTAGAAATGTATTTATCAGTTGAAATTACCATGTGACTTAATTGTACATCATTTTGATATGTCTTACCAATGCTTCCATTTAATGAATGTAAATTACTTAGATCAAATGTATTTATGAACATAGTACTGTTGTTAGATATTACACAATGTTCCACCAATCTTTTGTTGTATTTGATCAAATGTGCATCAGATGTTATGTCTAGTAGACAATATTTTATTTCTACTATTTTATTTAATATTATACTATTGTATATTTCTGATGCATAGTGTTTTGAAGCTTTTATACTTTGAGTTAATGTTTTCATAATCATTAAAACAACAGTTTATAATTTAAATATGTTATATAAATATGTTTATATAAAATAGATTAATATAAAACTAATTAAAAAACCCAAACTTTGAATTAGTTTTTGTACCATTGTTATTTAAGATTATTTTAACCCCTTTTGTCTCAGTATCCTATTCTAATCAAACAACAATGAAGTATCATCATGACTACAGTTGTTTAAATATATTCTAATGATGCTTATGAGTTCAATTTTTTTAATGTATAGGTTGATAAGCAGAACTTTGCAATAAAGTCAAGCTTAACAAAAATATATATATTTTAAATGTCTAGACATTTAATGTTAATATTATTGAAAAAATCAAAATAGCAACCTATATTTTTATTTATTGAGCAAATATGTCGTTATATATTAAAGCTATCAATTAAATAATTAAAAGTTTCAAATATAAGCTGCAACTAGAAGAAAATTTATTATAAACCCATTAACACAATGTATTTGAACTCCAACACAACACAATATAAATGGAAGCAACCTTTTATTTCTAGAAATTTGACACCACACTATGGCAAAAAGGCAGATCTAGAATTATTGATGGTATTTTGGGTTAACCATTTCTGTAACATGTACATTTTGTAACCACCACTGTTATCTTAATAGAAGTAGAACTTTTCTAACACACTTAGTTTTTTAATCTGGAGCATGCTCGCATATTTTAAACAGTGTAGACCCACTTGATATGAATTTACAACAGGTTTTATGTTATTAGAGAATATGTTGAACAATACACAGCATAGCAACAATGTTAACTGCAAGTGCTTCCATTATGTCTCAATTTAAACTGTTCTCCACAATCTTCATATACATTTTAGTGTTTTATTTGTTGGTGATTATTTTACTTTCACACTGTTATCTGTAAAGGTGGATACCTCAGCATAAATAGCTAGTTTATAAAATTGGTAGAATAAGCATGTATTTTCTCTACATAATTCATTACTTAGACATGGTTGTGAGATGACTGGTAGTAAACCTTTGACAGGTTGTGATGTTCAATTTTGTAAAAATATAAGTTGTAACATAAGATATTTATATTCAAACATTATTGATCTAAATCACTTCAATCTATGCATCCCGTATTTTATGCATATTAAACATGAAATGTGTAACACATTCATCTCATTATTTTGGATAGAAAGTGATTTGTGATTTTAAATGAATGTTTGTTATTATGTATAGTAGTTAACTGATGAGACATGTTTGATTTAGGTTTGCGTTTTCACAACTTGTAGGATTTCTACTCCTATGAGTTACCATAACTTCACAAAGCTAAGTGTTTTTTATTTACTTTATTATTATGGAAAGCTAAGTAAATTTACAGACAAAGAAGAATCTGCTTTTTAAAAAAGAAATAGCTTACGTCCCACAGAATTGTAAAATCTGAAGTTTTTGACTGTCCATCATACTAGACTAAAATGAATTTTTTTTTTCGTTTGTCTAGTAACATACATTCAAGCATAAAAATCTATATTCATTTTTATTTATAATGATGTTTATAAAACCTTTTAATTTGTCTCCCATTCAGCAAATCAGCAATCTAATTATTTAAATCACTTGTATGACTATGAAGTGCTCTGTTGTGACATAATGGGAGTTATCTTAGACAATAATTTTAAGTTTTGATAGACCATAACAGTAGTACAAGTGGCCACTCAATAAAGCATGACATCTTAAAGGTATGTTGATACAAAAGCTGCACCTTGCTTTTTTTTTTGTACATAAAATAAATAAAATAAGATGAATTGTATATATATTATTCAATTTTTCAATTGTATTCCTAAGTACTCACAAAGTTTAGACTAGAAGTACTTTTTATTTTCAACCATTAATTAAGCTTACTATTACAGTGAAGTTTAGCATTTTTAATGTTATTAAATTGGTAAAAGCCTTTTTCAAATGTGGTGATTCCTGTCTATATTATTTGATTTTTTATTAATAGTGCAGTTGGTTTTTGAAAGCTGGTTTAAATTTTGCCTAAATCAAACAATGTATACATTTTAAATTGAACAATAACCAAATAAGATCTTGGAATAAATATCTTGTGTTGAATAACTGTGATTACATTATTTAAAAAAGTCCACCATTTTATAAATAAGTTTGTTTCCTAATTACTTTTATAATGGTGGGCTATTGATTTTTCTGATGGAATTTTTCTTGTTACTAAATTATTAATTGAATATAAATCTGTACAATATTAGACTAGAAGTGAAATATAAATACTGTCTGGTAGCTAGCATGTCTATCAAATTGATTGAGATTACAAGTTGTGTGTGTGTGTATAAATAATACTGGAGTGGTGTATATTCATTTTTAATTTTAAAGTCGAGTTGTATGCTGCATTTCAAAATATATTCAGGTTTATTTCCTATTTTCTGATTTGCGCATACCATTAGATATTAAGTTCATAGTGTAATGCAACTGTCTCACAAAATATGAGTAGTAGTAGGCTATTTGTTATAAAATGTGTACAACGCTGGTTTTCATTTTGAAAGATACAAAATGTAATATTTCTAGACTGTTTACCTGCTAAATCTTATTATAAAACTTCTGTTAGGAAAATGTATATATGTATCTATGTTATCATCAATTACTAAATGTTATTTCTGCACCATTTGTCATTATAATAAAGTGAAAGATTGAACCAAACATGGAACTAACAGAACTTATTTACAAATTTAATAAATGTAATAAAATGTAGTTACCATAAAGTGCACACAACTAAAGCACTTAGAACACACCAAAATGAATGTTTATTTATGGATTATTTTTTATAAAACTGAGTTATATATGCCATCAAAGTTGGACAAAAAAATCACTCAGCTAACTATTGTATTGCTGTATTTACTAATAGGATTAAGAAAGCTTGATGGGATACGGTTTGTTTGTTTTCAAAAATGTCCATGGAATACTGTTTATCAGGTATTCAACTAACAATAGAAGAACACAAGGTTTTTTTTAAAACTACTAGGATTAGAAGTATTCAAATATAACTTGTGGTGTCGATATTATGTTCATACACATCACATTATTTATGACTTTACAATTGTAAGGGGTAATATTTTTGCTTTCTTTATCATTTGAAAGGCTGAACAATTAACTTATTAATTTGAAATTTCTGGCTTACACAATACTCACAATCATTTTAAAATTGTAGAAAAAAAAGAGCAATCTATCTATACATATAATTCTCTACGTGGGATCATGCAGGACACCACTACCTCGTACACCTGCCCTCCTCCCTAGCTCTCCAGACCATATCATTACCACCCGTCAGGAGAGCTGTGGATCATACCGAATGTTTACAATCGTAGAGCTGGGTCGAATTAGTGACGGCTGTTGGGGGCAGATAATTTAGTTTTTAAATAATTTAAAACTAAGAGGAGGTAACAAGTTCTGCATGATCTTTTCATTGTCAGCTGTAACTTTCGTCACAGATGGAGGGGGGGGGGGGGACACACGTGAGAATCACCCTTCATGGGCTACTGATAGTTTTTTAAGACAAAATATTTTCATTCGCAGCAGTGGTAGTGTCGAATTCACAAATTATGAATTACTGAAAAGTAGAAAATAAAACAACTAAATAACTGTGTATGCTATGCATACTTATTTTTTTAAGTTACATTTTATTTCAATGTCTTAAAAATAATTTTATTTTTACAAGCTTTTATTTAACTCACTTCCTTCTGTCTAGATCGAAACGCCCGAGCAACATTGCAGGCACTTCTACCTGACAGATACGGTTCGTAGTTCATACGTGGCTCAAGACATGAAGTCAATGCATCACGACATTAAATTTGACTTAATTGGATGCCTGATTAATTTTTTAGGAATTAATTAAAATTTTGACCGAATTAGTAGGCAATCGTATCCAACTACTCCACACGCGTCATCGCGTTAAATAGCGCGTCATCACGTTCAATGGGTGCGCAATGGTTTTTAGTCTTGTAACTCTATTGTAAATAAAAACATGTAGGCTAAAGTACTAAAAAAATATTCATAAACGTTTTAATAACAAGCTTTTATGTAATAACTAGCCGTCCCGCCCAGGCCCTGCACTGGCATCTCTGAAAAACGTATCTGTAAAGGACCATAACTTGTGTGTTTAGTAATCAGTATTTATCAGGCATTGCCCACCCTAACCACAACCAACCAAAACACACAAAAAACGCAAACATAACATTAACACAAAACAAACACAAACGAAAACACAAAAACAAACGCAAAAACAAACCCAACCACAAACACAAAGAAAACACAAACACTAACAAAAAAGCAAACGAAAACAAATCCAAACGCAGACACAAACCCAACCACAACCACACAACACCAAAACACACCAAAAAAAAACGCAAACATAACACAAACGCAAATACAAACGAAAACACAAAAACAATCACAAACACAAAGAAAACACAAATGCAAAGAAAAAAAAGCAAACGAAAACAAACCCAACCACAAACGCAAACCCAAACTCAAAGAAAACACAAACGCAAAGATAAACTCAAAGTGTCCACAGTCTAGCCTGGGGCGCCAAATTGCACCATGATGACGTGCGGCGTAACCGCCTCATTCAACTTAGTGAACGACTATAGTACCCAACTTATTCATAGTCTTTTGAACTCACTTACGCGAACGTAGGTACCATAGCGTACACGGGAAGGCCCGGGGCGCCAAATAGCATCCTGTCGGGTGCCGGAGGACGCCCGGATTTGATTCACTTAAAGACTATAGTAACCTTTCTTATCAATAGTATATCGCACTGTTTAAAACAAAATTATGCAGCATAGCACTCACATGATAGCCAAGGGCGCCAAATCGAACCGTGCAGGAGCGCCGGCTGAACAAAATTATAATACTCCAAGGTTATCTGTAAATGGAAAGAAATAAACATATAGGATTTGTAGGACCTGGCTTATTAAATGTTATTGATTTTTTTTAAAAATAATTAGTGAACAGTATGTTCAGTGTATAGAATAAATAAAATGCAGTATTAAAAATACCAACGACATTGCACTTAATCAATCCCCGCTAATTATGTAATTATTTTTTTTCTTAACACCAAAACAAAGTAATAAAAAGTAAATTCTTTCTTCCCCCGATTTAATGGTTTTTTAAAGGGATGTAACTGTGCAGTCAATACATTTCAGACACAATTTTAGAAATTTTATAAACGTTGATACACTTTTTAAAAATGTTATGTAATGTTCATAATTTAAAATTATTATTCTAACTTTTCTAAGTATATAAAATGAAAATTGTTTTTAAAGACTTTCAATAGTAATTTCTTTACTTATAAATTTAGACCATGAGCACTATAATAATTTAACACTTAAATCCATGGAAGTATCCACGACAAACATTTTACATATATACGTATTTATATATATTAGATACACTAAAAAGGAGAAAATAAATCATACACTATTACTATTATTTAAATAACTATAAAGAAAAGCGTGGGTCTCTTCCTAAACATTAGTAAAGGTATCCAATAGATACTAATGTGATCCACGCTTTTCTTTATAGTTATTTAAATAGTAGTGTAAATTTATTTTCTCCTTTTTAGAGCATCATTACATAAAAGCTTGTTATTAAAACGGTTTTTATGAAGTTTTTACAAGCTTTTATTTAACTCACTATTTCTGTCGTCAGCAGAGGCGTAGCGACCTTTCCCTGCGCCCGGGGACAAACTTTTGCACCCCCCGCCCCTCAAACTTTCGATTTGCACCCTCCGCCCCCCCCCCCCCCTCGAGATTTTGATTTGCACCCCCCTCAACCTTTCAATTTATTTTTCCAACCCATTTTGGCGCCCCCTAAGCTCGGCGCCCGGGGACATGTCCCCCCCCCCCCGCTACGCTACTGGTCGTCTGTGTAGATCGAAACGCCGGAGCGAAATTGCAGGCACTTCTACTTGACAGATACGGTTTTTAATTGGTAAGTGGGTCAAGACATGAAGACAATGCATCGTGACATTAAATTTGACTTAATTGGATGCCTAATTAATTTTTATGAATTAATTAAAATGTTGACCAAATTAGTAGGCATTTCTATCAAACTACTCCACACGCGTCATCACATTCAATAGTTTTTAGTCATGAAACTCTAGCGTAAATAAAACATGTAAAGTACTGAAACATAAAAATGTTTTTAATAACAAGCTGTTATGTAATCATCATCTTTACCCGTTGGTGCTCAAGACACATGGGGCAGATGAAGTAGAGTTCATCTGCTTCAGAAACATCTGTATATGAAGAGTTAACGTGATCAGCTCTAAGCAGTGTTTCTTCCAGACTTTTTTCTCGGGGGGGGGGGGGGGGCACTTGAAATTTTTTAGTCACACTAGTGTTAATAAAAACATGTAAAGTACTAAAAATAATTTCATAAAAAAACGGTTTAATAACAAGCTTTTATGTACTAATGCACTAAAAAGTAGAAAATAAATGAGTATCTTTTAATATATAGTAATATAATACACTACTATTTATACAACTATGTTAATAAAGAAAAGCCTGGGTCGCTTCCTAAACAGTAAAAGTATCCAATAGATAATATAGTTATATAAATAGTGTAAGTGTATTATATTACTATATATTCAAAGAAACTCATTTATTTTCTACTTTTTAGTGCATTAGTAATTAGTACATAAGAGCTTTTTATTAAAACGTTTTTTTATGAAAAACAAGTTAATTAAAAAAGTCTAGTGACATTTATGCGCAATTTCCTAATGTTATCTAAAAATAGCTCTGACGTATAATGCTGTGGTGCATTCAAGCTAGAAGAACGATCGGTTTGTAGGTGTTTATGTAATTTTAAAATTTGTGACCGAACGAGAGGATATTTTTGAAAACTTTATTCGGCAATATTGTTCTAAATTATGGCAGGAATCGATTGGTACATGTTTCAAGTCGCTAAGTGGTCTGGTTGCCGAGATATGGGCCAAAAACTGCATTTTTTCGAGGTTTTTTGGCTTTTCCGGGAAATACATGAAAGAAACCCGGAATTTATATGGCCTATGCTCATTCTCGTAACTTGCTTAACATAATTGCTTTTGGAACTAGTCATCGATATTGCTTCGTTGAGGAGGAGATACGACTTAAAGCCCGGACACACATTCATCCATCCATTCCCAGAAATGACGAGTTAATAAACGCAATTCTCCAGAATGGAAATTGCGCTAAAAAATTTGTTGTATTTTCAGATAATACTAAAAATATCATTTATTCTGGGACTTACCAAAAAACATTACATTTTTAAGAAGTGGAGGCTAGACCATATTTAGATATTATATGAACTTTATTTCAATTGAAATATAAACAGCATACAGTTTCCTAAAATGTATAAACAGCATACAGTTTCCTAAAATGCTTAATTACAATTAATGCAGATTTTACCACTTGAAGAGTATATTGTGGCAATAAGTTAATAAACAAAACAGATAAATTTGATGTGGTATTAACTCCATTAGGTTTATTTAGTGTTTTCTCTAATATTAAATATTAATCATGCCTATCATAGGTATAAAAAACAGAAAGAAATACATTTTAATTCTTAATGGCAAACTTTACAATTCTAATTCTAGTGCTGAGTTCTGTGAAATAATTAGGATTCTTAAAATTTAATGCTAGAATTCAGATAAGAAAGAGATTCATATTTTAAGTGTACTGAAACAGGCAAGGTAAGAAACTCTAAAATAAACAATCTTTCACATTCACTATTTGTCTCTCTTGTTCATTGCTTAGAATGTAGTGTAGACATAGATAACATTTCTAAATTATAAGATATATCTTTTCAAATTATTCAACATTTCTTCTTCCTGACGGCTTTCTTTGCTTTACTTGAACTATCAGCATATTTAGCCTCCAGCTGTGATAAAAAACTATCAGCCTGTCTAGCTCTGGATGACTGTCTAATAGCAGCGACAAGTGAATCTTCACTGTCATCGAGCTTTAAGATTTTGGCTTCTTTTTCAGCTTCTTTGGCTTCTTTCTCAGCCTTAAAAAAAGTAAATGTTAAGTGATGAAATTATTCTAAATACTAGAGACTGTTTCTTATCCAAGTTCTATGGTTGTTTCTGATGCTGTTCTACAGCTTCTGCTCTGTTTCCCATTCTGTTGCCCGAATTTTATTAGAGTAAAACATTTTGTCAATGAACAGCAACATTGATAGAAAAGTAAATATTTTGTCAGATGAGCACTGGAAACTAGATCCTTGTGAATAACGTCAACATAACATTTTAAAATCTAAAATGTCAAATTGAAACAATATGATGGATAGCTACAATTTTAATTTAAACATCAGGGTTCCCACAATTTTTTTACTAGAAAATTCCCTGCTATTCAAAGAAATTCCCTGCTATTTTTCATATAAATTCCAATGCGCATAACCATTGACCATAAACTTGCCAAATTAAATTTAATTAAACAAAAAAAAAAGCAGACATTTTTTAGGGGACCACTCATTTTTTAGGTGAATCATATCCTAAAATTCAATCCCAACACTGAAATTTTTAAACCCTAAAACTTGATGTCGCATCAGAAATTTAAAAAAATCAAATTTGACATTACTTACTTTTTGAGACATTTGATTCATATTATGTTATATTTTTTTTATACATTATATAGGTGATTTTAACTTTATAACAATCTTTAAACAAAAAGAATATTTAAAGGATTGTGCATATAACTAAAAATAGTTTAAAATAGTAGCCACATCTTGATCCCATAATGTAATATTACATTTCTAGAACCTCCCCCAATACAAAACAACTGTTTATGTTAATACAATTGATATTACTTTACTATAGTGAGTTAAGCTGATAATAGTCACACTTTGAAACCTAATCTTAAAAGTTGTAGAAATGTGCACTGCATATCTAAGTATTTAATTTTAGCACTTCCTATATGGAGTTAAAAAATGTGTGTAGTCAGCCAAAAGTGTGTAGTTATTCACTGCAACCAAAAAACTAAACAGCATATAACTTATAATTTTCTTAAAGACAAGATGTTTGAAAAATCTCCCTCATGCTGTTATTGTACTAATTAATAACTTTGTAAAGCAAATATCTAAAATAAAAGAAGTTTCTGTTACTATGAAATAAGGGGTCATCCATAAATGATGTCAAGTTTTTTGGACTATTTTTACCTGCCCCCCCCCCCTCTCCTCAGTCACACATCGTCACAAAAAACCAGACCCCCCACCCTAAAATGACGTCACACCTCAGCCTACATCCCCCCCCTCCCCTCAAAGTTGCAGTTGACTTTTTCTTAAAATAAGATATTTTACCAAAATCTTGTCTGAACTCTGTCAACTTAGAATATTTTAATCAATTCCTATTACAATTTATTAAAACAGTTTTCTAAAATGGAAAAGGTTTGTTTTCTAACATTGCTTTTTTATAATGCAAAAGTGTGACAGCACACAAACTGACCCCTCCCCCCATCACACACCGTCACAAAATTATGGACCCTCCTCCCCTTACGAGTGTGACGTCATTTATGGACGACCCCCTGATACTGAAAGGAAACAGTTTTTTTTAAGTTCACAAAAATGAAAAGTCTTTTTTTTCAAAATTGAACTTATTTAAATTATAATGATCATTCTGCACTGTTTTCAGTTTAATTTTTTATGTCGTTTCTTAGAGGTACCTGTATTTTTTAAACTTAAAGGGGGCTAATATTAATTTTAACATTTTAGTTTGATAGAGATCAACCGGAACAACTGAAATTAGATCATAGAGCCAATTTTCCTATTTCAAATAAATCGTATTTTGAAAAAGAAAAAACTTAAAAAAACTTTAAAAAAAAAAAAACCCATCTTAGCCAAGCAGATCTATACTTATGACCAGAGTTTCTTCCAGGCATCCCCCCCCCCCCCCCCCCCCCCCCCGAACGAAATGAAATTTTTATAATTTATATAGAAAATATATAATATATACTTTTAACAGTGTCCGAAAATTTCAAGTGCCCCCCCCCCCCCCCCGAAGAAAAAAATCTGGAAGAAACACTGCTTATGACAATAGTGAACACATCAATATGTATGCTTTTCAAATACCCTTGGACTGCTATTAAAATTGACAGTATGGCATTTCTCCCCCCCTCCAGACGACGTGGAGAGTCATTGTAAATGCCTATAGCATATGTCATAACATGAACAGCTGCTATTTGAGAAAGCTAGCTGATGACATCACTGTATCACCCCCCCCCCCCCCCCACCAAAAAAAAAAACCATGTTGTATGAACGCGTGGGCCTACTTGGGGCCACAGAGAGTTCGTGAAAGCCCTTTTTACTCCAGTTACCATTTTTATCTCCCCCCCCCTTCCCAATGAAATAATTGTAGTTGACCCATCCGCATTTGAGATTGTTGGTGACGTCACTGGCCTTTAATAAAAAAAAAATTCAGGTCTTTCGCAATTTAAAAAAAAAAAAATCTGTGTTTCCCCCTAATTTAGTATTGCTGGCTAACCGTGAAATTGTCTGCTAGAACGGTTATCCTTATCCGTAAAAAATGTGATAATGTTAAAAAAGACTACTCGCGCAATCGTAGTCCTTTAATAAAGTTTATTTAGGTCCATCTCTAGACTACACGGGGAGTTCAAATAAGCCACAAAAAAAAAAAAAAAACGTGTAGCCTAAACTAAATTTTAAACCATTTTAAACAATGTTAGGTAACCCTAAGCTAGTATAGCAGTAGATGTACGTTTGCGTGACAGGCAGATCACGAGAAACTGCGAGATTATCGATTTGATAGGCATATACCCGGTCCAAATCTCGCGATACTCGGGGGGAAAAAAGCGGGAAGCAAGAATTCCTGTTTAACATATTTCCCGGCTATTCATCGAAATTCCCGGTTTTCCTGGCCGAGAAATTAAATTTAGAAATTCCCGTTTTTTTCCTGGCTGCGTGGGAACCCTGAAACATACTAAATAGGCAGCTATTCTTAAATTCAAAAATTACCTTCTTGGTACGCAAATTCTTCTTTTTTTTACTCTCCTTGTTGAAGGCGTCAAAAGCTGGAACCTTTTTTTCTTTAATGAATTCTTTAAGTATGTTGGTAAATCTGGCTTCATCATCCGGTGTGCTACACAACATATTGCCCATTATAATATCCATGTCTCCTTTGCTAGAAATGTATATTGTTCTCAAGTCATCCAATTCTTCTTCAGATCCTGTATTTCATTTTTTGTGTGTCAGATATTAAAATGAAACCATGAAGAAATAAAATAGTATTTTTTACATTTTGACAGTTGTTAAAATAATGAAATAGAAAATATCGTTAAAACCTCTATATTTTTCTGAAAATTCTTGTATGTCTTTAGTAGTGATTTTTGGAAATAACAATCTCCAATACTCCTCCCAATCTTTATCTTGATCAACAACTGCATCTTCAACATTTCCTAAATTTAAAAAAAAAAAAAAAAAAAAATATATATATATATATATATATATATATATATATATATATATATATATATATATATATATATATATATATATATATATATATATATATATATTAAACACTGGTTTAACAAAGACAATTTAGTTAAAGTTAAATAGTAAAAAACAAAATTGGGTTAACGAAAAAAATTTTTTGGCTCAGATCCAAGTTATACTAAGCCAGCCAGAAGCATGGCTACGCATTTTGGATTGTAGCAAAACCCTCTCCTTTCTTTACATATATAGAAATAATTAGCCTAGCCTTAAATATTATTAAATGTGTTAACGTAAAGATATTTCTATCTATAATAATAAGCTACACTAAGCACTAAATGTCATTAGTATGAGTATGAGTGACATGCAGAGATTGACAATGCTTCAGTACAAAGTCTCTACATATTTTTGGTTTCTTTAGTTAACTCACATCAAATGTTTACAATAGTAGGCTATAAAGAGGTGGACAACTAAACTTTCCTATCTTAACCTTACTTATACTAAGACACAATACTACTCCTAAATATAGTTGTAGTCCTTTAAAGCAGTATTGTTCTCTAAAGCTCTCTAAGTAAAGTTTTATATCCGTCATCATACTGTATTTGGCATCATTGGAAAGCTGGATTTCTCATGTATTTGATAATCTTTATTTCCATCATCTCGGACACACCCAAACCTTACAATCGGCTTTGCAGTTTACACAGATATGGTATTTTCTTGACCTACTTTTGGGGTTTTTTTGGCTGTTTTTCTCAGTTCGCAGGTTTTTAACACTATTTATTAATCAATGGCCACCATATTTTCAGTAATTGTTCTTCATGCAAAAATACAACTTTTGTCATGAGGGAATTGTGATGGCTTTCATAGAAAAAAAAGTATATGGTAAATAATATGCAGATTCTGAAACTTTTGAATACTAAAAAGTGTAAAAAGGGTACAATTTTTCAGACCTTGTAAGTTCTTACTATTAGCTACTTCAAAAAGCTGTCGTGACATAAGTTTTAATATATACTGAAAAATAAGCAGTTTAAATGTGATTGCTATAAGTGAATAAATAGGGGTCGGCGTGGTCGAGTCGGTAAAGCTCATGGTTGCTAAACCGAAAAGTCTCGAGTTCGAACCCTCGGGCAGATGAGGCTCGTTAGCTGGGGACAGCCACTCGTCTAGGAGAGATAACTCCAAAATTAAAACAACTGCTGCCTTGTAGTTTGTTCTTGGTTGGACAAAGGCTATGGAAGCAAATCCAAACAGAAAAGCAGGCTGAAATCGGAGTCAATGGCCTCAATGGCGCATAACCAGTTGACACGTAACGCTTAATTGTGTTGGAGGCGTGGTCGAGTCGGCAAAAAAACTCATGGTTGATAAATTCGAACAAAGTTTCGAGTTCAAACCCACTTGGCAGATAAATCTCGATCCCCTTCAACACTAATAATTAAGAACGAAGAAGAAAGAAGTGAATAAATTTAAAAAAAACCTTAGTATTTCTAAAAGTACTAAAAAATTCAAAATGGCGGAGGTTTTTTTTGGGTTTCCATGACAACCAAAATTGTTTTCAATCCTTTTTTAGCTGTTTAATACTTACTTTCATGTGCCAAACATGGTAAAAGTATTCAAACTGCTTTAGATCTTAAATTGTAAGAAATGGGAAAAAAAAACAGATCATATCCCCTTTATCTACAATTTTAATACTACTTTAAAAAACTTACAATTAGGGCCTAAAATTTATTTAAAACAAATAATTGTTCATTTTACAAAGTTAAATTTTAACGTAAAAAAGTTTTTGCATGCTTTAAGTTTTAAGCTGCTTTGATTTTATTTTAGTCTCACAATTTAATAACAAATATTTACCAGTTTCATCATATTCTGCTCTACAGTGATCATCAGATAAAATATTATAAACCTGGCTAAGGATCTGAAACTTGTGTGTTGCAGTTTTTTTATTTTCAGTTGAGGCTCTGTCTGGATGATAAGTCAGTGATTTTTTATGGTAGCCTTTCTTCACTGAAACAAAATAATGTTTTTATTCAGAATGTTTTCTATGATCATTCTGTTTCAAATTTTAACTAAATTTTTTTTTTGGTAATTTATCATTTTTAGTACCTAAAATCAGCCGAGATTAGTAATGTGAAAAAAATGTGACTCTTTAAATTTTAGTAATTATTTCACATTTTTAGGAAGATTTATGCTTTGAAAGTTAAAAAATGTTTCAAAGTTTCATTCACGCTTTGAGGGGGTGGGAATTAGACGTTCTACTGGGGAAGGCGAGAAGGGGCTTAGACCCTACCTGAAGAGATGCATGAAAGAAATTCTTTACATCTTTTAAGATTAGACAAAAGAGTTAGGCGGTAATGCCAGTGTTTTTATTATAGAGTATCAATGACGTCATTACTATTGTGTTTTTTTTCGGCATTGGCTTTATAATTCAATGGTTATTCAAGAATTAATGACATCATATTATTGTGTGTACTTTCCCGGCTTTAGAAAATTTCTTACTATATGTTCATCGTGACGTCACGTTTCGTTTTTCGAATTACTATGCATGTTTTTACTCTGCTTGTGTTTTCACTATATAGTAAAAGCGTTTCAACAGATAGATAGATAGATAGATAGATAGATAGATAGATAGATACACAGATAGACAGACAGCAGGGTTTGCGAGCAAGATTTGCTTTATAAACAGCTGCCATTGGTAAGTTAGAGAGGTTTTCCCTGAAGGCTGCGGCTATTCGTACTTAATAGCCCTATCAATAGCTATTCGTACTCTGACCAATCAGCGCGAGGCATTTTTTCTGTGATTCTTGAATTCCCTTTTTCATCTTTTACATGCTGTATAGATCTAGAACTAATTATTTTTTAGATCTTACTAACCCTAACCCAAACCCTATGCCTATGCCTAACACTCATGCTTAACCCTAATCCTTAAGTAAAATAATTATTTAAAAAAAAAACAAAAAAAAATAAACAGAAAAAAAAACCTCTGACCTAAAGGGAATGGAACCCACGCCTCAAAAACAAACTAGCCAATGCACAACCACTTCGACCACCGGAACAGTTACGATGAGATACAAAAATTGAATGTCATACACAAACTAATAAAAATAATTATGCATGATTGCGCAGGACAATGAACTTAAAAATAAATTTGATTGGTCGGCTAAAAATAGCGAAGTACGAATAGCCTTCTGAGGGCTATTTGTAGTACTAGTAGAGTACCCAATAGACACTCTCTTCCCTAAATCTATAATTTTACCACAAAAAAAACCTTAAACTAAAAAAGTAAATGAGCTTGGTTGCATCTGATGAAAACATAGCTAGATTTTCTAGATCAAGTCTTTATTTTTTACTGAAAAGTTTTAATCAAATTGTTTGAAAACAGGTAGACTACAGTGTACATTAATGAAACTTTGAAACATTTTAGTAACTTTCTAATCATAAATCCTCCTAAAAATTTGAAATAACTAAAAACATTTTAGATCTAGAATCTATATGAGTCACCTTTTTTTCACATTACTAGAGGCTAGTCTCGACCGATTTTACGTGTAGTCCTACCTAAAATTGTAAAATGAACCCCATTATGATTATTTCTATTAGATCTAGTAGGCCTATTAAAACTAATAATTAAAAGCCTTAGGCCTATTATTTTAATTAATAATAATATAATATGGTAATCTATCGCTTTAGCGTAATCAATTCGGCCGTCACTAGTAATGTAGGGATAAGGTAACTATCAAATATGGCTTAGATGTGAATATATTTTTGCATATTTTACTAAAATACTAAAGATAATTGAATATTAAACCACATTTAAGGTTTAAATCAATAAAAATGTCATGAAATTAAGGTTTAACATCGATGTTCCAGATACTAAATTTGCTATTAAAAACAGCGGCCATCTTAAGAAAATATTATTTTGAGTCATTTCCCTTTAATTTCCATTTGTATGGAAATGTATTGATGTTTGCTATTAAATACGTTAGTCTTGTGTTTAAATACAAAGCATGCGTTTTTTTTTTAAATTCTGCCCTTTAAACAATTTAAATGACTGACAATAAACATCAGTTCTAGAATTATTATTATGAGATGCAATTATTACACATTAAGATACTCCTTATTTTTATAGAGCTACCACTACATATCTAATGTTTATTTAAATATTAGTTTGAGTTAATTCTTATTATTTGTGTTATTGTTTGTTTGCTATTTTCATGTAATATTTTCATGCTTTTTTCCTTTAATTAGTGATTTAATCATAAATGACGTCCCGTTTTTTGACCTTTCTTCACCTTAACCCCCCCCCCCCCCCCCCCTCATTTTCGCCGTTACGAAATAGTCGTAATGTCGAAAATTACCTTTTTGCCCTGCCTGTTAAAAAGTCAAGCGATAACTCAAATGAAAACGATATATTCAGCATTTTTGTATTTGGCGAAATACATAACGTTTCACGTTTCTTACCCCTCCCATTTCCCGCGTAAAACGTCGTCTCAAAACCAGTTACTCCACCCCTTAAGTGTGGGATGTCATTTATGGTAGATGTCAAGTCCTATATACATTTTGAATAACCTTTGTTGTCAAAATGTTGATACCAAATACCCAAAATGAGTCATATGGTGTTATCCATAAACGATGTCACATATGCTATGCTAATGTGCCGTCAACTTACGCAGGGTGGTCCGGGGGGGGGGATGCGTGACGTCTATTTTGGAATCTTCTTTAAAGCTGTGCTCAATGAAATTGAGGAACATAAAGCGTTCGTTTTCATGCATACATTTGTTCATAACGAATGATCATAACTATTGCATGCCTGTTGTCCTAAGCGGTGTTTAACAACCTGAGCACATCATCCCCGCCAAAAAGGGCCTGCCACTAAATGCCTACCGACGAAAATAAGCCGCACTATATTGACTCCAAATGAAATAACTTCTGACAATAAGGCTCAAACCAAGTAGCTCCTGTCAACAATATTCGACAAGAGTCCAAGACACCATTAAGTGCCGCACCAGGTGACACTCGACCTCGCTACGCCACTGAGCTAATGTAAAGCCACAGCTCAGTATTGGCTTAAATTTAACATAAAATAGTGTTAGCAGTGGACAGCCTCTAAGACTGTGCATTAGGAGTACGGCCGTCGGCAAAACGCCAGAGTCCGACGATATCTGAACATCAATTTTGTCTTTTATGAAGTGCGGAGCACCTTTAGCTTAAGACCTGAGCTTGGCCCCTGTTGACACCACCACTAGTGCCGCTTATGTCCACATATTAATCACACGTTTTGCGTGGAGCTTAATGGACAGACGTTTATAGGTGGGACCGGGAGCCTAAATGCATTTACCGAAGCCGCTGTGTCACGGGCATTTTAGAGCCGAACATCTCAGGGCAGCATGTTGCAGAAATTAAAAGCACGTGAATTTGTATAGTAGAGGGAGAACATCATGCCACTGTAATAAATTAAACACCAATATAATTCACCGAACTAAAGTCATTTAGATCTATTCGTCAGGCTAAATGTCGCTAGTCTCATCGTCATAGTCATTTAGTGCCTGTTTTGATTTTTTTTTTAATTACGCGGTATCTCTTTCTTAAACATTAGCCTAATGACAAATGACGTCACACGCGCCGCGAACTTTGTGACGTTGTGCTTATTGGGGGATGAAACGGCGTGGTTTAGAAAAATGACGTATTTCTTTTTTTTTTAAGTGATAGATTCTAATTTTCCTACGAACTATAGGTTCATCTAGTTTTTTTTCTAGAGGGAGATATCACTATATTGTGATGGGGGGGTTTATATATAATTCTCAATATATTCTGATCTACTACTATTCATACGGCAACTATTATACTCGTGAGGAGGACGGGAATCACTCTTATGTTCCGCAGACACTAATTAACAATGTCAACAACTTCGTTTATGAAATAACATGAACTTTATTAACACACACTTATAGATCATTTGTACAATATCAAAAAATACGTCCGTCTTCTACTATATCTAACCCCCAACTAACTTCACTGCTGCGTCTTACGTCATCGGTACATTGTCGCACCATGCTCACGTCACACTCACGCCACACAAATTTTATTGAACACGCGCACAATACTCTCGCACCAAATCGTCTACTGTCAAGTTCGTACCGTCCTATGGTAACCTCTACTCGTCTAGTCTAATTCTATATATCTACGCTATGACATATATAGTGGGTGGTTTTTTGTTGTTGTAATAATGTGTGGTGGGGAGGGGTAAACATTGACTACTGAAGAAATAAAAAAATGTAACTAATTAAAATTTGAACCTATTTTAAAAAACACAATAATCTTAATTCAGAAAAGGTGTAGGCCTAAGACTAATGTCTACAGACACAAAAAAAAACAACTAGACTTAATTAAATGGATCGCCCATAAATGACGTCATACTTTTCCCGACGATTTCCCTCTCACCCAATAGTTACTAAAAGCAAGATGATGATTTAATATCATATCGCAGTTCTACTATACCCGAACCCTTAATCACAATTTCTAACGAACACGAATATATTCTTCATCATTTTTGAAAACATATTTTACACCGTCCCATATTTTGAGTCCAACGTCATTTATGAAGAATATGGACGACCTAATAATTGACAAGTTAATCAGTACAAAAGGGTTTAATAAATGTTGGACCTCCCAAAAGTCTTTGAGATCTTGGATGTACATACATACATAGCCTTAATTTCAATTGAAATTAAAGATAAGAAGACGGCCCTCTGTCCCACTTTTATTAAACAAGACAGCTATGTATATTCAACAACAAAATCAACACAATATACATACGAATAGACATGTGTATCAAGGGAAACTACTCTAAATTTTATTTGGAAAGATGGCCGCTGTTTTTATCTGGTAATATTTATCTCAAACACCTTGTTTAAAGTTAGTTTCATGATATTTTAAATTGTTTTGGTCAGTGATTGTTATATTAAATCAATTATCTGTTATGTTTTGTAACATTTGACTTAAATTATACTTATTTAAACAAATATATTCATCAGTTACCTCTCCCGCACATTTCTACTGCAGCCGAATTGATTACGCTAAAACGATAGATTACCATATAATATATTAGTAGCTCACCCTCCTGTTTTGATGCATCTTTCTCGATACCCAAAACATCATAAAAATTGTCAGTGCCGAATAGTTCCTTACAGGCATTCAACAAAGTCGACATTTGATTCTTGCTTCCCGCGGAATTTGGAGTTGATGTTTTTCAATGTAGGCTAGGACTACCTCTAGCCTCTCTAGTTATAGATCTAGGTATAGATTATAGATCAAGATAATATAGATCTAAATATTTCTAAATTAAGCAAGATTCCAGATGTAGATAATCTAGATCTAAATCTAGAGACCTCAATAAATAAGATTTGCAGATCCAGCAAAAGAGTGCTTTGCAGTTTTGGGTGGTGGGAAATGGAAATTGCGAAACGCGAAATGGCGAGGCGATAAACTGCGAGAATAAAATGCGAGAAATACCTGCGGAATCACGGCTAGCCTAAATAGCGAGACACAATTTGCGAAAAAAAAAACTAGTTTCATGTTTTTTTGGGTTGCTGTTGTTTTTTTTAAATTATTTATTAACTAAAGAAGCTGATATATAACGATTGTCAGAGCCGGCGTTAGGAATACGCGGGGCCTAGGGCCAATCATCCGCGCGGGGCCTGCTTTTTTCCATTATATATATATATATATATATATATATATATATATATATATATATATATATATATATATATATATATATATATATATATATATATATATATATAGGCCTATATATATATAGGCCTATATATATATATATATATAGGCCTATATATATATATATATATATATATATATATATATAGGCCTATATATATATATATATATATATATATATATATATATATATATATATATATATATATATATATATATATATATATGCGTGTGTGTGTGTATATATAGTACTATATAATATGCATACACACATAATAACATAAATGTTTAGGAGTCTATAAGACTTTAATAACAGATGTTTACCTCTCCCACGTTTTAACCCAATGTTCTTAGTGGTTTTTACTTTCTCGTATATACGAAGTATAGAGAAAGTATTGTAATCGTGCACTAAAAAAAATCGAGATTTTTACAAATCTCGACGTTTTACACCTCAATGATACGGAAAAACATAATTTTGCAATCTTGTCCGTATGTCTGTCTGTCTGTCTGTCTGTGTGTGTGTCTGTGTGTAAACACGATTACTTGAGTACCGTTACAGCTAGGTTGATGAAGTTTCATTTATAAGTATTTTATCAAAATCGTAGATCCGTATCAACTTTTGAGCAATTTCCGATAACCGGAAGTGGTACTTTTCCTACTTTGAATTTTTCAAAAGCCTATAACTTGAGTACTATTTCAGATAGATAAATGAAATTTCACATGTAAGTTAAAGATCTAATTCTCTACCTTCTGTTAAATTTTGAGTAATTTCCGTTGACCGGAAGTAGCAATTTACGCTACTTCCAATTTCTCAAAAAAAATATTTAAAGTACTAATAATATTGCGCACTATTATGCACTTTTTTTATTTGGCGTTCACTTGGTGTGCGATTCTTTTGTCTACGAGATTTTATTCTATTTAAAAAAACTTTAAGTATTTAAAATGGATTAAAAATCATGTCTATAGCCCGAGTTCCCATCCCCTGTTATTTTATATAAGAATATTCGAGAAAGTTTTGGAGAGATCACTCCCGGTTTATATTTCTTGCTAAGATATTTAATAACTTTTGACAGATATGTAATTCATACCAAATCACTTACGAAAATTCAATCACGTGCCAAATAATTAGGAAAATAAAGTTGTTTAAATTGTTTGTTGTTGACTAATTGTTAATATAAAAGCATGGGCGTATCGAGGGGGGTGCGGACCGCACCGGGTGACACCATTTAGGGGGGTGACACCAAGACAAAAAAAATAGCAAAACATTTACAAAAAATGATAGCTCCACTTTAAAAAGTGGTTAATTAAAGTGTTAAATAGTCTTTTAAGAGCAAATTTGATAAATTTCGACAAGGGGGGTGGGGGGGGGGGGGGGGCTGGTGGTGACACCATGACGTAAACCTGCTAATTATAGAGAAAACATGCTACATCAACACTTTTAACTTTCTTCAAAAAAAAAAAAATCACTCTGTCTAATGCCCCTTGATATAGATCCTAAGGCCCCCCCCCCCTCATCGCCCTCTTCCCACCCCTCTGCACGCAACTGAATGTTAATTTTGTTATACCAAGACAAGTAGGGCTACATATACGACATCTACAACAAGAAAGTCAGGACTAGCGTTCATCAGGTCACTAACTGTACTACAGGCATCCAGTCTGCTCACTAATAAGACGTCTTCATCGGTATCACTTTACGTGTTTCCCAAATTTACATCCCATGTCTGGTCGGGGGCTAATTCGCATCCAACAATCTCCAGTCAATTCAGGTCAAATGCCAGGCGACCGTACCCAGCACACAGCGAGGCGTGACACTTTTTTGGTATCGAATTACGACCTCTCCCAGTTTAGGTGGGTGATAACTCACCAACATCAACCGTGGCCTCAGTTATAACAATCAACAACTTCGGCATTCGACCGTTTTGTTTTTCCCCATTGAATTCAGTAACAATTTATTTAAGTTTACAAACTAATTCAGATAATAATGACAGCGCTGAAGCGAGGGGCCCCTTCAGGCGCGAGGCCTAGGGCGGCCGTCCCGTTTGCCACCCCCTAAAGCCGGCTCTGACGATTGTTGTGTGTCGTTTTTTTTTAATAATTATATCTGAGCACATTTTAAAGCAACCGGGGGGAGGGGAATAGTGGGGGGAAGTTACATTAACTCAACGTTGCAAAATATGCATGAGTTAAACGGTTTGGTTGAGAGTCGTAATAACTTAGGTGTTAACCCATGTATGTATGGGGGGGGGGGGGGGGGGGTGAGGTAAAAAAATTTAAATACATATAAAGTATATGTGAATACATATACACATGCGTATAATCATACTTACTTATGTAAGGTCGTTAGATTTGTCCAGATGAAGTATTTTCTTAACTAAACAATTGTTTGTAAAAAAGTAAACATAGACTGCGTCATTTGGTATATGTACAGGGGAGGTAACTTTTTAAAGTAATAATTTAAAAATTATTTTTTACTATTTACAAGAAAAACAAAAATCACAAAGTATAGCGTTGTTTAAATTAATATTTCGTTATAAATTACGTTATGTATTGTACTGAAGTTGAACAAATTAATTGCTAAAGTGAATTTAATATAATATTTGATTTATACTTTTAAGGAAGCCTTTGCAGTTCTAATAACCTTGCAAGTGATAAGTTTGTGACTACACCAATAGTATCATGACATACAATTACTCTGACTGTTTAAACTTAGGCCCCCAAGCACTCCAAATAACAACCAATCACCAATTAATAAATCATTCTGATTCTCAAAAGTTTTTTTTTTAAAAACTAAGCGAAGCTAGGCAGCACGCCTAGTTTATGTATATGTATATGTACAATGTATATATATATATATATATATATATATATATATATATATATATATATATATATATATATATATATATATATATATATATATTTATATTTACGGGGGGGGGGTGACACCATTAAGTGCCGCACCAGGTGACACCCGACCTCGCTACGCCACTAAATCAAATTTGAATGAAATTGTTCATTTCTTCATATTCTAAAATTCGAAGATGACGCCATTAGTTTTTTTTTTACGCCTCAGACATGTAATTTACAGCGTCAGTTTGCCTTGCATTTTGGCTTTAGTATTAAAGCTTTCAACATCGGCTTGTGAGGACTGATACAGATTTACAATAGTACTATTTCTTTATTACATGTAGCCTACTTTCATTAATTTAAGATGGTTTTCTTATTTATAGATCTAATACAAAAAGTCTAATTACAATTTTATTTTAAAAAAAACAAGTTAATAAAAAATCTAGTGACAATTTAAGCGCAATTTCCTTATGTTATCTAAAAATAGCTCTTTCGTAGCGTAAAGCACACACGGGGACAAAACACAAGACGTATAATGCTGGGGTGCATTCAAGCTAGGAGAACGATCGTTTTGTAGGTGTTTATGTAATTTTAAAAAAAAAATTGTGACCGAACGAAAGGATATTTTTGAAAACTTTCTTCGGCAATATTGTTCTAAATTATAACAGGAATCGATTTGTAAATGTTTCAAGTCGCTAAGTGGTCTGGTTGCCGAGATATGGGCCAAAAACAGCATTTTTTCGAGGTTTTTTGGCTTTTCCGGGAAATCCAGGAAGGAATTCCGGGAATTTTTTGGCCTATGTTCATCCTCGGAACTTGCTTAACATATTTGCTTTTGGAACTAGTCCTCGATATTGCTATGATTTTTGTTATTAAAACGTTTTTTATGAATTTTTTTTCAGTACTTTACATGTTTTATTTATAATAGTGTTACATGACTAAAAACCATTGCGCGCCTACTGAACGTGATGGCGCAGCTATTAAACCTGATGGCGCAGCTATTGAAAGTGATGACACGTGTGGTGTGGTTGGATTGACATGCCTACTAATTCGGTCCAAATTTTAATTAATTCATAAAAAATTAATTAGGCATCCAATTAAGTCAAATTTAGTTTCAGATTGCATTGCCTTCATGTCTTGACCCACGTGCCAACTGTGAATCGCATCGGTCAAGTAGAACTGTCCGTATTTTCACTCCTACGTTTCGATCTAGACTGACGACAGACTGTCGACTGACGACAGACAGAGGAAGTGAGTTAAATTATTAAAAGCTTGTAAAAAAATTCATAAAAAACGTTTTAATAACAAGCTTTTATGTAATGATGCACTAAAAAGTAGAAAATAAATTATAGACTACTATTTAAATAACTATAAAGAAAAGCGTGGGTCACTTTAGTATCTATTGGATACCTTTACTAATGTTAAGGAAGACACCCACGCTTTTCTTTATAGTAATTTAAATGGTCCTTGGGGCGTAATTTAATTAAGCTAATTTAGGTCTCTAATTGCTAATTTTTATGATTGCATCTGAAATTGTTAGGCGAAAATAGCCTGCATTCCAAATTTCAGATCTCTAGAGCAATCAGAAGTGGGCTAATTTTCGATGTCAATTTTAACAACAAACATCCAAACAAACAAACAAATAAACGCGAAGCTGAGTTAAGAAAAACGTGTTTAAAAAATGATTTATTCCTATTTTCCCCATATAGTCTATCTATAAATAGCCGTTTGCTACTATATCTAGTCTGTTTTCGTCTGTATACGAGTTAGGTGTTTGTTTTAAAATGTATGCAATTCGATGTTAAATTCAACATACATGAGGACGTCCACATGAACCCGCCCCCCCCCCCCCCCCCCCCCCTTTCCACAGTCCACAAAAGTTGATTTATAGATCTCCCTCCTTGTGGACGTCA